TGGAGCACTGGGTGTTATGCACAAACAATGAATCATGGAACACTTCATCTAAAACTAATGATGTAATGTATGGGGATTAACATAAGAATAAAAAAAAGATTAAAACGTTCTCTAAAAAAAAAAAAATTCTTGTATAAAGGTCTCCTCCTTTATGCCCCCTTTTTTTAATCTAGAAAGAAGTTAGTTGTCTTTTGTTTGTAGTATTTGAGTTTTTTTTACACTGTGATGCAAATTTAAGCTGCTTGTAGCTGATGCCTTGGAATAAATGAAATGGGATTTTCAGCTGAGATGTTTGAGGTCTTTCCTAAGATAAAGTAAGTACTATTTTATAATTATATTTATAACTTACTTCATATTTTAATTGGAATAAAAGACTTTTTTTCTGTTTTTTTGTTAGTCCTGACCTCCATGGGCTGGGCTTCTCCCAAGTAATTCATGTTCTCCATTATTATTTAGTTGAGGTCAGCAATGACTATTCCAAACTTCAACTTTCAATGCTTTGCATTTTCAATGACTTATGCCTTCTTTTTGGCTAACTGGGAGGCTTTTCTTCATTCTGTCTGAAAAGGTCTTTCTGTGCAGATGGTGCACCTATTGAGGGAAACTTTACTTGGGACTTACTTAATGAGGGTCTGTTCAAATATTTCTCTGAGGGTAATGTATAATTTAGGAGCAAGTGTACCACTGTGTTCTTTTCTCAGGATCACTGTATCCTTTTTTCAGGTGACATGCATCTGGAGAATAATAAACATAGTCTTCAGTGTAAGAAAAAAATAAACTAGGTTCATATCACCGTTAGTCATACAAGATAAGTTCTTTCATTTTCTTTTTACTTACCACAACAAAAGAGGGAAAGGCAAAAGATGTGAGGCTGAGCAGAGACCAAACACGATCAAGTGCCATTAGACTAGTCAGCTTTCTACCTAAAAGCCATTGCTGCTAATTTCCCAACTCATATTCATGTAGGAACATAAGAAATACTGAGCATAGGGATGGGGGCTGTTCGGTAGGTATGTTACAGAAGAGTCCACATAACACACATACCAACCAACCTGGGAGCGAATAAACTCTACTATAACCCTGTGAAATCAGATGTATAGAAACTTCCATTAAAGTGGTCTGAAATTTTAAGCTTTGCCAACATTGTTTAACAAAACTATAATATACAAAAGAAACAACAATTTTATGCATATACTTTTAATAAAGGACATAGGAAGATAAAGCTTATTAGTATTTGTGGGTGTTTCTGTAGCAAGACACATGATTTTAAGAATACCATATACAATAACTTCGAGCAGATTGGTGGGAAAAAAAGATTTATAGCAAATTGGCAAGTTCAGCTTAACTGCTGAGGGCCCCAGTACCTTTCTTTTTCTGGCTCTCCAATACATTTCATATATTACCAAGACTAAGTACCAGCTTTCCTGCTGTGTCTCTTTGCTGATTTAGCCAGCAGGGTGACAGCAATTATTCCTTGAATGTGTCTTACCTTATTGGTTTTTTTTTCCCACCTTCAATGCCATGCCCTACTAAAAATCTGTTTCCTGATATACTGCATTCATTGTCCATTTTAACTCATTCTGCTAATGACCACATACCAGCCTGCTACAAAGAACAAATTTAATAGTTTTAAACACTGTGCAGGACACAGCCCTAGCCCTTCTGGGGAAACAAACAGCTGTTGGTTGCATGCTATTAGGAGCCACCTGTTCATTATTATATTACATAACCCCTGCATTCAAAAGACTACAACTTAATATGGTACCTTACAGCTAAAGTTAAAGAAATGCAGATGTACCATACCTCATAAGCCATTTCCTACTGATTGGATGGAATGCATAAATTTTCTAAGAACACAGGACTTGTGAAAGGGTTTAACAATCTTGTCTTTTGCACCAACTGAGTACCATAGCTACTCTGGGAGTAGAGGTTTTAGAATGAATAAATGGAGTGTTCTTCACTTGCAGTGAGTGTTGGACTTTTTCCAAAAGAAGAGGACAAAGAATTATTCCTTTAAAGTATTTGCTCCTGATGTCCAAGCAGCCTACTTTGGGGGCAGTGTGTAGTGTACATATGTGTATGCACACATGTATGTAGGTATATACGTGTGATGAGAAGTAAAAGGGATAGGCTTTGCATGACTGTTACATCCTATGAATTGGGGCCATGTTAAATTTCAGGTGCATGTCACAATAATGTACATTCAATATTCTTAAAACATACCTGCTTGGGATTGTGCTTAATCTCCATTAACCTCAATGACAACACTTTGTGCAATTTGGCATAAACATGGGGAAGCACATTCTTTTCCCTGGCAAAGACAGCCCTGAGATTGGGCTCTATGGGTACTAGAGGAGATAATGGCACTGGCTGATGTCACACAGTGTGAAATATACGTGTTACATGGGACCAGTGTGGGAAAGAGACACATGTTACATTTATATCACATAGAAAATAAGAGTTGTTTAATTGCATACTTTTAGATTTTGGACGAAGTGGAGCTTTTCTGAAATGTGATCCTGCCCGAATTAATCTCAGTGTTCTAAGTTGTTCCCCAGTATTTCCAGTACTGGGAAGCCAAGTCAGTCTAATAGTGCACTGGACATGATAACTGAGGTCTGCTCCAGACAGCTATGTGCTTTTGGAAGCCACCTCATTTTTTTTTTTTTTTGGCCTCAATTTTTCCAGATGTACCATGGGGAAAATGATTTCTGTTCTAAGGACATTGTTGGAATGAACTGAATAACTTAAATAAAGTAATCTAAACTCTGCAAGAACAAGTCAGCAATGAGAGCATGGAAGAAAGAATGGAGCACGCTGGTTTGCTTAGAAATACTGTTATGGTTCAAGTTTTCATTCCAGTCCTTCAATGAAAGACTTATAAGAGCACTAGGGAGTTACATAGCACCTTTCAGTTGTAGGATCCTAACAATGAGTGTTTTATTTTGCAAAAGGGGAATATGGGTACCAAAAATTGGGGAATGAGATCCCACAGAGGTTATTTGACAGGGCTCCGAGGAAAACAGGCAATGGAGCCAGATCAGGATACACTAATTATTAAATGACCCTCTCTGTCAATCAATAGTCAATCAACTGGGGCAGGATGCTTATGTACAGTAGTCAGTACTGAATTATGTATGGATAGGGGTATTATCAGAGTCCATAAACTAGTGGAATAAAGGTGCTGAGATAGGAATAGGGTTTATTCTCCAAGCCCCCACTTAAAACTCTGATTTATTTGGCCTTTTGAAGATGGTGTGAGTCTGTAAGACATTAAACAATCAGCTTTGCATTATAGCTCTCCTGAGCTTTATCCTTCCAGTGCTTCCCTGTAGTTTTCTGACACTGTCTTTTATAACCTGATTTAGATCAGTGCCAAGTGCTGATACACTCTATGCATCAAAGAATTTATTGATCCCTTCCTGACTTTGAATCATAGTTAGAAGCTAACCTGCCTAAACCCTTGGCAGAAAATGATAGATGAGAAAGGGAAAGATTTCTTTGAGGCCCACTGGCTGTGGAGTTAAGTAATGGTCCTATTTTTTAGAGAAAGATACTTTACTATATGAATAAAAGGCAAGGTTTGTCCATCATAAGACCATGTGAATGCCTAAATAAGCTTTCAAGAAAAACCTAAACAAGAGAGTGTTTTGGAGAGAGAGGGAGGAAGGGGAAAAATCTTCCCAACTGAACATACACGATTTCATTTGTGAAACCTGGTGTGTATAGTCTTCTATGTTGCTTCTTAGCATCTTAATTTGAGAAACAGTCCCTGGCCCTAATAGATTTTGTCATGTCTAGTTATTTTCTCAAATGAAATGCTGGCACAATCCATTTAATTTATGCTAAAAGTCTTACCTGGCCCCAAATCACCTAGAGGATCCAAATAAATAAACAAGTTTTTTATTTAAGTAGCTGAATTGCTTTCTCAGCTCCACTGGAACCTGAACACCAAATAGTTTGTGGTAGGCAAATTTTCTTTTACTCAAAAAGGTTTTAGGGGGGATTACTTAGTAAACCTAATGTCCTTCTAGGAGTTCAACTCCTTGATATCTGTAAGATGCCTCTAACTCTCACTAATTTCTGTAAGAGTTGGGACTTCTATTGCTGGCAGCTGGGCACTAGGACACTGGCTGAGAAATGAAAACCATCAATGCTCTTAGGTATTATTATTATAAAGACTCAGCATTAGTGTTCATACTCATTGATTCAGGCACTAGGACTAAAAGAAAGGCTGATTATAAATAAATGGGGAAATGAATGTAAACTGTCTTAATGGATGAACTACCACTGAAGCTAAAAAAAAAAAAAGAAAAAAAGTATTGGCATATTACTATTAGGTTATCATTATCTATACACTAAACCCTGCTGTGAAAACATAGCTTGAGTGCTAATCCTTAGGCCAATTTCAACTTTGAAACTTTACCATATGAACAGTATTGTAATTAAACCTGAAAATTAACCTTAAGCTCCTTAACAAAGTCTATGGTGCATAACTTAGGGCTATAGTTTTTCTATGATCATAAGAACAATTAATATAGGCAAAAATAAAGCTAGGTAGCAGAGAAAATAATAAAAGTGGAGAATTTTACTACAGCCTGACATTAAAAGTCTTTAAAACACCAATACTTATGTTTAATAAAGTGGAAATCTGATCTGATCTTCTCTATTAGTTGAGGTGCTTTCAGGAACATCACACATTTATGACAGAGAACAGGCTTTGCATTGTTGTTCAATTTCCAATTTGAGGACCTTGATTATGGTGTGTTGATTATGCTTCTTGACTTTTACATATCTTATATAGGGATGGTGTTGACAGCCCAGCAAATATTTAAATTGCTATTTAGGGAAAAAAGCAGGATTGAATAAAAACCTTGGATTTTTTTTTTAACCTTGATTTTCACAACACCACAGCAGAATTTTGTGTAAATATGCTGCACATATGCATGCTTATAAATGCACAGGCACACAAGCAGCAGTCTGATTTCCCTTAATACCACAAACACCCTATACATATAATTAACAATCTTTCTAGGGGAGTTAGAGACTCCATGGAAGTTTTTTGAATTCCTCTTTTCCTGAGAAGAGGAATAAAAAGAGCCCCTGGAAAGGTATATATGTTACATTTAGGTTTTTACAGATTGAGGAGGTAAAATGAAGAAAGAGAGGAAGACTGGCTTGAATTACTTGCTACCAGATTGATGAGTTCAGTTAGTAAATTAAATAACTTGTAAAGTCCTGAAACATCTATCTGCACAGCAAGTATTCAATGGAATGCTTTTAAATTGTGAAGCTTTCAATCCACCATGGTGACTTATTTTGAAGATTAAAATGGTTCCCAACATTGAACTCTGTAAGCCTCATGGGAGATGGAGGGTCCTAGGAATGAAAAAAAGAAATTAACAGGTGAGCTGAACCACTGTAAATATCCACACAGTAACATCCATTGACAATAATATGCAACCATTAAAATTATGTTTATGAAGAGTATGTATCAGCACTGAAAAATGCTAAGTGAAAAGAGCAGGATGAAAAATTATATATACAGTGTTATAATTATTTTTAACCCAGAAATTTATCTGGAACAAAAAACTGAGGAAATATACTAAATTGTTCAAAGTGGTGGGTTCACAGGTAATTTATTTTTATTTTCTTTACATTCTACTTGTATTTTCCACATTTTCTCAAGTAAATATATAATTGATAGCACAAAACATTTATTTTTGAAATTCACAAGAAAATAACATGAGCTTTGAAAGTGGGTAATTCTGAATTTGAATTCTAAGCTTTGCTACTTGTTATCTCTGTGACTCTGGACAAATAACATCAATGGACCTTAGTTTCTTCATCTGTAAAATAAGCACAATAAAATCTACCTGAAACAACATCTGGCATATAGTAGGCACTGAAGTAGCTGTTATTAGTATAAGCTTTTTGGAAAACAATTCAGCCATATATTTTAAGACTCTTTGAAATTAAGTTCATACCAGTAATTTTGCTTCTAGGATTCTATCCTAAGAAAATAATTATAAATGAGAAAAAATATTAATATCCAATGACATTATTGATGGCCTTATTCATAATAGTGAAAAATTGGATAAAATCGTAATGTTGGAAAGTAGGAAATTGATTAAATAAACAATACCTTAATATAATGGGAAATTACTATTGGCGTTCAGGAAAAATACAGAATTCAAAACTGAACACAATATGATCTCAATGTTTAAAAAATATATTCATAGAAAATATTGGAAGGGATACAACAAAATGTTAACATGAGTTATCTTTAGGTGGTGGAATTATAGGTGATTTTAATTTTCTTCATGGTTTCTTCTCTTTTTTGTTATGTTTAATATACCTTTAAAATTAATTCTAGTGTGTTTATTATAAAAGCAATTCATATTCATCATATAAAAATATAGAAAGGAATAGAGAAAAATAATGACCTATGATCTCAGAGACTGTTTTTCATTCTCCCTCCTTCTCATCATTCATTCAACAAATATTTATTGAATACTTACCATGTGCCAGGCACTGTCTTAGGGACTGGCACTAAAATGTGAACAGGACATAGTCCCTGCCCTCAAGGAGCTTACAATCTAGTGAGGGAGACAGACAAGTAAATAAATTATTATAACACAGAATAAAAGTGTTCTCATAATGTTATTACGGTAGCATCCAGAAGGGACATAGAGCTCAGCTATGTAGGTCAGTCAGTGATGTACCCTGAGTAAATGATGTGGAAGCTGAAACCTGGAAAATATCATGCAGCCACATGAAGGAGACTGGAATGGAGGAGGTGGGATGCTGCTGAGAAAGCATGCCAATCATGGAAAACAGCAGGGGTATGTTTGAGGGATTGAAAGCAGTAGAGTGTGGTTCAAGCATAGGGTGTAGGGATAAAACTAGTGGAGAGGAAGCTTTGGAGTTGAGAATCATGGGAGATGAAACTGGAGACATGAGCAGGGGCCAGATCATGAAAGGGCCTATAAACCATGTTAAGGAATTCAGACTATGCTGAGGCCAATGAAAGTCATTACACAGATTTGAGTTTTTAACATTATTCTAGTTGTGATATGGAGAATGGATTGGACGAGGGGCAAGATTGGAGGCAGGGAAACCAGTTAAGAGGCTACTACAGAAATATAGGGGACACATGATCTGGGGTCATGGTCATCAGTATAAAAAAAGTACACAGCTTCCAGAGATATTTAGGAAACACAGTCAACACACCTTGGTGATTAATTGGATGTGGGTGGAAGATGAAGGAGTGGGAACAAAACAGGAAATAGGTTTTTGGTTGGGTGAAGTTGAAAGGCACTTGGTTATTCAGGTCTGGAGTTCAGGAAAGAGTCCTGGGTTGGAGAAACATATTTAGTAAGTTGTCAGTGTGTGTGTGTGTATGTGTGAGTGTGTGTGTATATATATATGTATATATGTGTATATATATAATATGTATATTGTGTGTATACATATATACACATAATTATATATTATATATACATAATTATATATTTCATATATATTATATATACACACATTCTTTAGCCAAGGAATGGATAGATTTCCTAAGGAATGACTAGATTAATGTGATGGTCAGGAAAAAACCTAGCAAAGTTTGGGAAGATATTATTTCAACAAGACCTCCCTGATGATAGGGGGGAAGGAAAGAAATTGTAGGAAGTTTGAGAGAAGCATGACAGAATTTTAAAAAATTTTTGCTTTATTGTTTAATTTTTAAATTTAAATGCATATCATCTTGTAACCACCATCTCAGATAGAATACAGCTGTTATTTTCATATACTAATTTTGTATGAACACTGGTTTTCATTATTCTAGGGGAAATATTCAAGAATGGGATTACTGGGCCATATGGTAAATGTATATTTAACTTTATAAGAAACTTTATAACAAACTGCCAAACAGTTTTCCAGAGTAGCTGAGCTATTGTGCATTCCTACCAGAAATGTAGAATTCAAATTATTCTTCATCCTTGTCAACACTTGGAATTATCACTATTTTTTTTAAATTTACCCATTCCAGTATGAGTGTAAAGGATTCTCCTTGCAGTTTTAATTTGCATTTGCCTAATGGCTAGTGATGTTGCGCATCTTTTCTTGTGCTTATTTCCACTTTTTTTGGTGAAGTATCCATTCAAACCTTTTGCCCATTTTTTATTGTGGTGTTTGTTGTCTTATTTTTGAGCTTTTAGAGCACTTTACATATAGTCTGGATACAAGTCCTTTATCAGATACGTATTTTGTAAATATTTTCTCCCCGTCAGTGGCTTGTCTTTTTGTTTTCCTAACAGCATTCTTTTGAGAAAACATTTTAAATTTTGTTCAAGTCTAAATTGTAAATTTTTTCTTTTATGTATTTTACTTTTGATGTCATATCTAAGAACTTTGCCTAAGTCAAAGTGACAAAGGTTTTCTCCTACATTTTAAGAGTTTTATAGTCTTATATTTTACATTTAGGTATATGGTCCATTTTGAATTGATCTTTTTTATGTTGTGAAGTGCACATGTTTTAGTGAGGTCTAGTTGTTCTAGCACCTTTTGTTGAAAAGACTGTATTTTCTCCAGTGAATTACCATTACATCTTCGTGTAAAAATCAACAGACCATCTTTATGTGGGTCTATTTCTGTATTTTACTTTTTATTCTGTTCCATTGGTTTATGCGTCTATCCTTTTGCCAATAACACACTGTCTTGACTACTGTGGAATTATAGTATGTCTTAAAATTGGACAGATTTTGTGTTCTGACTTTGATTTTCTTTTTAAGTTTTTTTTGGCTATTGTAGTTCCCTCGCTTTTCCATATAAATTTTAGAATCAGCTTGTCTATATCTACAAAAATCCTGCTACAATTTTAATTGGGATTACATTAAAACTTCTACCAATTTGGGGAACACTGAAATCCTAACTCTATTGAGTCTTCTGACTCATGAACATAGTATATTTATTTATTTATTTAGGGCTTCTTTGGTTTTTTTCATCAGTGTTCTGTAGGTTTCAGCATACAGATCTTATACATGATTTGTTAGGTTTATATCTAGCTATATAATTGCGGGAGTTATTGTAGGTGGTACTGTGTTTTTAAATTTTGGTTTCCCAATAGTGCATTGCTGGTGTATAGAAACACAATAGATGTTTGTGTGTATTGATCTTATGTGTTGTGAACTAGCTAAACTCATTAGTTCTAAGAGTTTTTGTAGATTCTTTGAATTGTCTATGTAGACAATCATGTCATCTCCAAATCAGGATAGTTTTTTTCTTTACCAGAGTGCCTTTATATCTTTTTCTAGCACTACTGCATGTGTTAGGACTTTCATTATGATAAGGGATAGGAGTGATATGAGAAACTGTATGGAGTTGTGGTTAATAGAGGAAAGAACACTGGTAAGGAGGTAAGTAGTGAAGATTTTTCAAGCCAGTTTAGGCTGGAGATCACAAATGTGTAATCTCAGTTGTGTTTTTTGTAAAAAGTTGCAATCAGTATTTATAATCAGTTGTGTTATTTTTGTAGTAGTTCTCAGCAGCCTGAGTATAGGAATGGAGAAGGCAGATGGACTGAATCTGGAATTTTTTTTCTGGCTGAGGCAATGGAGTTAGGGCAATATAAATATTGGCAAGAAATGCCACTTGCAACAACATGGATAGACCTAGAATGTATGATGCTAAGTGAAATAAGTCAGTCAGAGAAAGACAAATACCATACGATTTCACTCATATATGGAATTTAAGAAACAAAACAGATGAACAAAGAAAAAGATGAACAAAAAAAACCCCTACTCTTAAATACAGAGAACAAACAAGAGGTTGCCAGAGGGAAGGCTGTGGGGGAGAGGTGAAATACATAAAGAGTACAAGGGTATAACTTATCTTGATGAGCATTGAGTAATGTATACAATTGAACCATATTGTAATATAACACTGTAATTATACTTCAAAAAATATATTGGCAAGAGAGAAGTTGAAGGCTCTCTCCAGTCAAAGCTAGATAGAGAAGGGAGTAACCATGTAAAAATTTAATTTTTACTTATATTTTTATTATATTTCTTTTCAGTGTTTTTCTACATATAAATATATTTTAATACTTAAAAGTTTTAAATTAAAATTTAAAATGTAATTTTATAATGCAAGGTTCATCCGTGTTAGAATATGTATTCTTTGGGTTGCCAAATAGTATTCCATTGTATGGATATGTCACATTTTATTTATCTATTTATCAGCAGATACATGTTAGGGTTGTTTCCACATTTTGGCCATTATGAATAATGCTGCTGTGAACATTCATGTAGAAGTTTTTGTGTAGACTTATGTTTTCATTTCTCTTCATTATATACAAGGACTGGAATTTCTGGATCATATAGTATTTCTATGTTTAACATTTTGAAAGACTATCAAACTGTTTTCCAAAGTTACTGAACCATTTTACACTCCAATCAGCAATGTATGAGGTTTCTGATTTTTCCATATCATTGTCAACACTTATTATCATCTGTCTTTTGGATCCTAGTGGATCCAAAAGATACCACCTAAGTGGTATCTTGTGGTTTTGATTTGCATTCTTCTAATGGCTAATAATGTTAAGCATCTTTTCACATGCTTATTGATCATTTACACATGGAGAATTATCTATTCAGATCCTTTGTCATTTTTTTAAAAATTGGCTTTTCTTTTTATTATAGAATTGTAAAAGTTTATTATTCTGCATATAAGTCTCTTATCGGATATTTGATTTGCAAATATTTTCTCATCAAAGGCCACATATATAATTCCATGGGATCATGAATTATGTGGAATGTCCATAATAGACAAATCTATAGAGACAGAAAGGTAGATTAGTGGTTACCAAGAAGTGGGAATGGAGGAATGAGGAGTGACTGCTTAAGAGTATGAAGTTTCTAAATATTCTAAATTAATTGTGATGATGGTTGTGCAACTCTGTGAATATCCTAAAAACCACTGAATTATACATTTTAAGTGGTCAAATTATATGGTATTGTGAATTATATCACAATAAAGCTGATAAAAATGTACTTTTAAAATTAAACTGCATTCATACAGCTTTTTAACATAACTATTAATTATTCTTCAAAGTAGTTACTTTTAATGGTACAAACTATTTCATCATAATAATGGAGTAATTTATTTTACCATTCCTCTATTGTTAGATATTTAGTTTTGTTTCTACTTTTCTGGTATTATGATAAATTGATAATGAATAGTTGTGCAGATCTCTGATTATTTCATTAAAATACATTCCTAAAATCTGATTATCAAATAAAATTGTATGAACACTTTATGGTTTTTATATGTTATTAAATTGCCATAAAAATGATGTATGAATTTAAACTTACATCAGCAGTATATAAGATACCTGTTTCAACGTGTCCTTATCAATACTAAGTACTATAATTTATAAAAATTGGTTGCTTTAGTAGACAAAAATTGATATTTTGGTAATGCAATATATGTTAAGAAAAAAAAAGAAGAAGATAGCAGGAGGGGAAGAATGAAGGGGGGGAAATCAGAGGGGGAGACGAACCATGAGAGACGATGGACTCTGAAAAACAAACTGAGGGTTCTAGAGGGG